GTGTGCTATATCACAGGCTGGCCCTAGGCTGTGATATAGTGACATGATAAGGTGCTATATCAAATGCAAGGATTATTGTTATATTATAAACGATAGTGACATCTACTGGCGGATTTGTAGCATTGCCATATGCATTATTATTTGGTCAAACTGCTCTTTGATCCTTGCTATGGTGTCTGACTGCAATGTCCAGTCAGCACTCGGACACACGGCTGAACCTCACCGTCCCGGTCACACACAGATAGCATAACAAAAAAACTAATTCTTCAACATGGATAGGATTGACAGTCACTGCATCGGACTATGGAATTTAGCACTTAATGTGTGACATTGCTTACAAAGGAGGCAAGTTAAAACATCAGATGTTAACATTAAAAATAGATCAACACTATATACTACGGACCGAATGCAAGCCAAAAGTTTGAATTTTATTGTTTAATAGAAATGCAGGTTTAAATGTCTCTCTAGTTGGTCGCCTCGCCAGTACACAAGGAGACACAGGAAATCTATTGCCTACAACATGCACAGTCACTACATCTAAATGTAAATTTGTGAAGCACATTGAGGGAGTAGTTATTAACCTGCACGTCGCTACATGCACACAGATCAGGTCAGCCAGGCTTCCCAGGCTGTGCTGTCTTTATATTGTCAGCACAAGTGTGAGCTGGACACAAAGTATCTGCACTCACACTCTCAGCTCTACCCCAAACAGCAACTTAAAGGTTACAAAGTGACTGGCATCCTCTCACTTGTCACCACAGTACACTGCAGTACTCCCCTCAAAACACCATCACAACCCCTTTACACTTACCCTCTCACCTCTGCAACCAACGAAGGCTGTACAACATAGGCAGGAGGAGCCGGCCTCCCTGATTCAGGCTCCTGAACCGCTTGCACCTCCACAGGAAGAAATGTGTACATACAAATAATAAAAAAAAACACTGGAAATATTGAGGGCTTGCACCGGTTTTAATTACCAGACCTTTCCATTTCAGATAACAGGCCATCACTGGTACAGTTATTTACAGAAGGAGGTTTATTGTGTCAGACAAAGAATGGCACCTCCAACAATACGGCACCCATCACCCCCACCCAGCATTGGAGTTTCAACAACTCTATGTGCGCTCTGACTATGCGCCCACAAAATATACAGTCAATTCACTTTGCAGTATATTCTGTGAAGCGCTTTAAGACGTCTCGAAGACGTGATAAGGTGTTATATCAAATGCAAGGATTTTTTAAAATGACATTACCGAGCCCTAGACTATGATTTTGAAGTCAAAATGTGGAGCTTGTACCACAACCTTCTGACTCGGGGCAAAATTACTACCAAGTGAGCCAACCTTACACCCAGAAAACAGTGACCATGAAACATGGCCTGAGTTGCTTTCATTGCCGAAGTCCAAGGTGAGGTTCAATTGTACTTTTCATACTGACCAGCTGGGGTCCACACAACCCAATACATCAGTAATGGGAGGTATTGTAATTCTGGTGAAATGTCTATTTGTAAACTAGAGCCCTAACAGACATAATTGTTATGCAATGAGAAGCATGTAGGAACTCATGGGTTCACTAATGTTATTCATAACATGCCAAGTGCATGAATGTACATTGTATTTCGTTGTTTGGCATCTGACCTAGAACCTTAAACCCTGTCACCAGCTAAGAAAACTAATAACAAGATCACAAGATTGGGTTGAAGAAGACCCTTTGTCCCATTTTATCTCACCTTTCCAGAATACCAGATATTTCAGAGCCAAGCAGAAGCAAAGCTGAAGTTGAAAGATGGGGGTGGGGGGGCTCCAAGAGTTGGATGACTTGGCTCCACCTCTCTGCCTCCTTGTAACATGATACTGATTGATGGTCTGGGTATCAGTCAGGGAGCGGGATGAGGGAGGGCAGAGCTCATGATGTGCATACAGCAAAGCCACGACGATGGTGTTTGGTTCAGATTCAAAACTGCAACACGATCTCCATTGGGAATTTAAAAGTAAGTGAGCAAATTATTTTGTGAGCCACCCGCTGATCCCCCACTGGCTCCACCACTGGAACCAAGGGACATTTCACCAGCCAGCCTGGCTCATCGGCAGGACTTGGAAGGGCAGACCAGTCACTGGAGGTAGGAAATTATTCCACTCAGCTCCTGTTATTCCTGCAAGCCAAATCCCTAATGGGCAGGGTACTAGCTGGACAAGTAGCAGGATATCAATGACAAGCTAAGTAGTTTTAACTGGTCAGACTGCAGCAGTACCTCAATGCCCCCAAGCCTTGGCTCTTGCCAACTTGTGCCTAATAGTTTCCGGAATTAGGTAAGCAGGATGTATCCCTCCAGGGGATTCCATTACAACAATATATCTCTGGGATTTTCATGTGTAGGTGGGATACATGGAAATCTCAGTCTGATTTAGATATTCTAAGATGGTGATGTGTTTCCGTGTGTGTCAGACACCTGTCTGACCCCAAATATTAATTGGGACGTTCTACCGACGTGAAAGATGCTATACAAATGTAATTTTTGTTGTTTGTTGTTTGTTGTTGTATACAAATGCACAAAGCATTGAGAATAATGTTGGGGAATTAGAGGGAACTATTAAAATGGAAAAGTAAGATCCCTAAGGACCATGAAAGTTTTTATTCATAGAACAAACGTGAATTGTTTTCAGGGTCTGTACTTTGTGTCAGAAAATCAAGATGAGTGGGGTGATGGTGGTGGGGAGGGGGGTGGATTAGCCACAAATCAGCGCAAATCTGGATTTATTTTAGGATATTGGAGATTCAAGCAAAGAAGCCAAATATTGAGAAAGCTGTTGCTCTATTTGTAAATACAATTGTTTATAGAGCAAATAGCTAATTATCTGTTCTAAATGAGACTGATCCCAACCCAACACTGAAAAGCAGTGTGGATAATGAGACATCACACAAAATATAATTTGACTAATGCTAGCTAAAAAACGTTTCCCCAAACCTTGACTCTCACTTAACCTTTGCCTAATACTCTCAGGAATTACGTACGCAGGGCGCGTCCATTTCGGAAGAGAGTGTGCATTCTATTCCAGACACAGGAACATTTTAATTAATTGGTGGCAAACATATGTGAAAATAGAGGGACCCTGGACCCAAATGAGAATATGTTTGAGGCATGTTACTCATGTTATTGACTTGTAAGGCTGAATAAACCTATCCAAATTTGAAGTCAAAAATGTTTTGGACCCAAGTTCCAGGTTGGAGAAACAGCCACTGGGAGCCGCTGTTTCCCACCTGAGGGTAAACATCTAACTGCGGATGAAATGCAATGCAAATTTTCCACTAGAGGTCACGTTTGCTAGGTTAATTTCAGGCTTGATAAATGGGGAAAGTGAATACCGTTTGCTTATTCTGAACAAAGGCTAGTAATAAATAAATGTTCAGATCAGATCAATTCCACAATGTGGACACTTGGGCATATATTTTACAAACCTCAACATGAATGGAGCCTGGAAATGAAGCCTGAGAAACGCTCCCAGAACAGAATTCCAGTGTCACATTCTCATTGATTCCCCATCAAAATGGTTTGGATAGTCTCTAAGCATAGTGATGGGTTTCCCTATGTTTAGGTGATAGATCTGTTCAGATTCTTTTTCAGAATAAAAATAAATTCAACCACCCTCCCTCTAACACTCACTGGAATAGACTGAAACACCATATCACCCCTGTTCTATTGTCCCATAACCATTCAGATTAAATTGTATGTGTCGAATGAAATGTGTTGAAAACCAAACTTGGTCAATTTTTTTTTAAATGAAAACATGCCGCAGGAAAACAAAAATCTCAATGTCACATTGATTGGTCGAAGGCCGTTTTGTGGAGCCTTTTCTGTGGAATCCATCAGTATAAAGAAAACAATGCAATAATCAATGTGTTACCTTAGCAGAGCAACTCAGTGCAATAGTCGTATTATTATTAGAAGTTAAATTAACTAGGAATCTAGTTCATAACATGCTGCAAGTTAGAACAAGCCGCGGTGAAGCCTGTGAAATAATTCCCTTTGTGCTTTTGTGTTTGAATGTAAAAAAAAACCTTGTTCACGTTTACCACTATATTATATATCACGAGTCTGCACTTGGGTGCCAACTCATACAATATCTCTCCAGTCAGGTGGTGGGTTTTATCTGCTGTTCACTGCGCTTAAAAAACAGAAGCTGCAACTAAACATGTTCTGCTCTCAAGTTTCACATATTACTCAAAAGATGCCACAGACAGACCATCCGCATTGTGGCGAACTCATTGCATCTCATCCTTGCAGAATACCAGATACTTCAGAGCCAAGCAGAAGCAATGCTGAGTTCGAAGGATTGGGGGCGTCCACGATTAAGTGATCGTGAAGACAAGAACATTTGTGATCGCTTTTCCCATAAAAGGCAAGATTGCATATGAATCCTCACCCATCGCCCCTCTTCCTGTTGCCTGTCTATCGCCAACCACACGGCCACATTTACACTTTGCAACCTTCAGTCCAAATGCACCCCCTTCAGCAAAGCTCACTGATATCCCGGGGTGCACAGGTCAGCTTGAAAACGACAAGTCCTCCACTAAAATCGATGGATAGGAAATTTTGTGGCTGACAATTAGACCTGTGCCTCCAGTTTTGTCGTCATTGCAAGGCAAGGGAGAGATCGCGACCAGTGAAGTTTCAAATAAATAAAAGGAGTTATTCTAACAGAAAATATAAAATAAAATCTGTGGAGCAGGGGGTGGGGGGTGTGGGGGGGGTGGTGCCTGTGTGGGCAGTGCTGGTCCAGCTTCCTCCAGGGGAGTGAGTGAGTGAGTGAGTGAGTGAGTGACCGCGCTGTAGGCAGGACTCCAGCAAAGGGGGGGGGGGGGGGGGTGGAGATCGGCTATAACGCGTCATGCACACTCTGGGTATAAAAGTTTCACATCCACCCTTGCAAGCTCTCATTTCAATCCACATCAGCAGCCTCCTGCACCCCCCCCCCTCCCCTTTTGCAGAGGACCCCCCCCACCCCCGCAGCCTGTTCATTAACTGCAACCGCCACTCGTTTTATTATTATTATTATATTAATAATAATAATTTTTTTAAAGCCCCCCCCCACCCAAAAAAAAAGAGGTGGTTTTAGTTTCACGAAAAAAAAAGAAACTCAACGCCAAAAAAAAAAAAAAGAGCTCGTTTTCAGCCAAAGCAAAATGACTAAGCTGTGGATGGTGTTTTTTGGAGTTGTTGCTGTGGCTCTTTTAATACAGGCGCAGGAGGTACGTAACGGTGTATTACACCCATCAGTCTGTGACTCCACACTGTGTGTGTGTGTGTGTGTGTGAGTGAGTGAGACCCGGACTAACGTTAGCACTGTTGTAATCCCATTAATCTGTTATAACGCACAATGTTCCGAGCGCGCAATTGGAGGGGGGGGAGAAGATTTTCGCGACCACGAACATATTTGCTTTAGTTATATCAGGCGTTGGTGGTGGTGTTGGTGGTGGTGGTGGTGTTGGGGTGGTGGTGGTGGTGTTGGTGGTGGTGTTGGTGGGGGTGTTGGTGGTGTTGGTGTTGTGGTGGTGTTGGTGTGGTGGTGTGGTGGTGTGGTGGTGGTGTTGGTGGTGGTGGTGTTGGTGTTGGTGGTGTTGTTGCTGTGCTCCCCGGTGCTGAACGAGGACATGGCTCTGCAAATGGCACCCGATGGAAAACCATTGGTTTGGCTTTCGAGGACGTTGGGGGCTTCTCTTCCCCTGAACGACTTCCAGGGACGAGTAGTGATAGACCCCCCCCCCCCCAAAAAAAATAGTATTTCTTTTTTTTTTTGGTGGCGGTTGTTTCAGTTCGGTCTTCTTTGGAGAAGAACCGAAATTGATGGGGACGGGGCGGGGTGGGGGGGGGAGGGAGGGGGGGGGGGGGTGGCCGTCTGCCCCCCACACACGGCTCCTGTTGTAAAGTGTCCTGTCCCGGACACAGGGTCCCCCCCCCCCCACACCCCTCCCCCCCCACCGATTGAGATTCCCTGTGTCTCACATTGGAGCCCTTGTGTGACATGGACCAGTTTGGGTGGGAGTCCCAGTGCTGAGAGAGCAGAGCGGCTCCTGCACCACCATGTTAAGGGCTGGGGGTGGGGGGGGAGGTCGGGGGTGGGGGGGTCTCTCTCTGAAATATTTCACCCCCCACCTTTCTGCTTGGGAGCCGAGTCGCTCAGTTTTGCAGCAGATCCCTTCCCAGTTTCAACTTTCCCCATTCGTCCACCGAATATATATACACCTTCGTACGTTGGTTTCGGGGTCGAGTGAATATGATATCCAATTAACATTGATATAAACCGTCTGTGTGCACCGGGGCAGCGGATGGGTTGATTTTGTTAGGCATCTGCTCGGCGGCTGTTTGCATTTGATTTGACGAGGGGTTGTTTGTGTGTGTGTGTGTGTGTGTGTTTCAGACCAGCAGCAGGTCCAGCCAGACCTCCTCCCAGGTCACTGCCAACGGCAACGCCAGCTCTGCTGTCAATGGGGGCAACACCCCCACCACCAGCCCAGGGAAAACCTCAAATCCCTCCACCTCCACCAACTCTACCACACCCAGCAGAGGTAGCAGCCTCTACTCCAGCAGCATCTTACTTCTCCCCTTCACCATCAGCACCTCCCTCCTCTACCTCTCCTGCTAGACACAGCACTTGACGGCACAGACAAGCCAGCAGCTCCATATCCAACACAACACAACCCCATCATGGAACTCATGATGGGCAGCTCAGCCCTTCCCTCAAGAGACTTTTTGTTTGCTCGCCCTCTCGTTTTCTGAAGACCCAGAACTTGCTAGAGATTCCTGGCCAGCATTCCGGTCTTGTCTCCCATTCAAACCCAAACTGCAGTATCTCCCGGCAGATGCAAGAGGCGATCAAACTCACAATTGGTTCGTGGTGCCTTTTCCATCCCATCTCCATCTCCATCACCATCTCTCGCTTTGTGGGACTGAGCCGCCCTGATAGCTGCCATGTGTAAAAGGAAGAAGAAGGAATGATTGGAAGATCTTTTACATCCAAAGGTTGTTTATCTGACCTGTGTAAATAATAGACAACAGCACCAACACTTGTGTTTTTTCCCCATTTAAACAGATGCCTCCCTTCTCCACAAAAAAAGCTCCTTAAGCTTTACTCCGCTGTAGCGCGCGTTAATAAGAACATCCAGAGAAAGAAAGAAAGTGCAGATGGCTCCTGGGAGATTAGACAAGACAACAAAATGTTTAATTCAAATAAACACACACATTTGAGTGTCAACTAAATAATAGATTGGCTTATTTTCAATACACACACATATATAGGTCACTGTAACCGTGCACCCTGTCTTCATTTCTTTCTTTGGAACCTGGTACTGTACACTATATACTGTGTATTCACATAATATCAATTCAAACAGTTAATATTTAAAGACCTGCTTTTAAATCCTACATTTTTAGACTGACTTAGCGTTAATTCGAAATGAATATTTAAGATGCCAATTTGAGACACACACACACAAAACCCAATGCTCTTTCTATTTTTAGGATACATATGAAAATATTTATTTGGATGGACATGTCTTTTTGGCCACAGGTTGGTATATGACTCATCTGGCATATAACTTCTGCAATGGCGGTATCCAATGGCTTATGTTGTCCCGAGTAAATTTGTGTGTAGAAGAGCTTATTTCATATTGGATTCAATATTGAACCATTTTTGAACTCATTACTTTCTGATTCCATTTAATATTAAACAAAACAGTGTTTCTACTAATGTTTTTTTCGTGGTGTGAGAACATATTAAAAAATCCAGGTAGTCCATTGTTTATATTTTTTTGTACAAAATGTGCTGTTTTATGGGATTCGTTTTTGTTTGTATTCGCCATTAGTATCGATTTCGAGATAAATATGTTGCTGTCGGGGAAACAAATCTTGGTTAATCCATTTCTGCTGTACATAGAAAGTACCTGACAAATTATTTAAGATCTGGAAATTTAAAACCTGCTTCAACCTACACTGAAAAAAGTCTTTGAAATGTTTCAATAAACTGATGGTAAAACACTTCTGTATGTGAAATGGTCAGTGACTGCACAGATTATTAAACTGATTGAGCCTTCTTGCTTCTGAGGGCACTGACATGGAGTTGGTTGGGAAGGGGGTGGCTGTCACTATACTTATTGGAGTTTAATTTTCACTAATGTGAGACACAATCACACCTCAGAAGTCCATTTGTAGCAAACTGTGGTTCAATCACACAGCAAAGGCTGATATTCTCAGTTTTATTCCGGGGGTGGGGAGGGGGGGAGAGAAGTTATCATTTTCCTTTTTTTGGTCAGCCAGGAATGGCATACTTGCTGAAATCCGACACCATGCTTGAGTGTGTATGTCCATGTCACCTCAACGTGGAATGTCCCTGTGTCTAGAATGGAATGTACAGTCTCTCCCTGGAGGGACACACCCTGATTATTTATTTCTGTACATATTCGGTGCAAGTTGGCAATGGCCAAAGCATGAGGATCCCAGAATATTTCTGGGATAATGCTGGAGTTAAACCAGCTTAACCTTACCCAAGGCTGAACCTGTGATACTGCGCGTAGCATTCTGTTGATAATCACATATATGTTTAGCTGAAATCAGTGCATTAAATACACAAATAAACCAACATGCCATAAATACAAAAAAAAAACTTTCATGAGCATGTTCAATACACGACAAAACAATGCACTGAACAAATAAAACTTGACTCAAAAGGTAATTACAGCCAGTCTGGCCATTCTATACTAAATTATTTGGATCTCTAATACCAAGTGGGATGGTAATCATATGGGAGATCTGCTTTCGGAACAAGAACTGAGGTAGGGAAAGGGTGAGTGAAGGTACATCAGTAACACGTGTTGAGATAGCAGTTGTGCTGACCATTGCTGAATGTTGATTTATGCCCTCGATTCCACCCACACCCCCCACACAGACCTGAGTTGCCAATTTCAGACATAATCCTTGAATTTGATATAACTCCTTGTCAAATAGCTGAAATATCTCCAAAAGTGCTTCACATGATTTACCATAACGTGTAGTAACTATTGGAAGGCAAACACAGCAGCCAATTTGTGCACAGCAGTGCCCTACAAAGAACAGTTTAGTGAATGACCAATTTTATCTGAGGGTTTGTTGGCCAGGACACAATTTTTCTATTTCTATCTATTTCTATTTTTATTTACTCCTTAGAATCCAAGCCACGGTAGAAAAGCACCAGTTGACATAAAATCTAAGATGCATATTAAATCCCAACAGGGGTGGGGGGAAAACAAATTACTTGTTCTCTTTGGTAATGTTATTCTTAACCAGGCATGGGGAATGCACAAAGATAATCGGAGATGCAGCTCTGTCTGGTTTTCCTCCCCATCAGGCCTCTTGACGTACCTGAGACTGGATCGTACTCGCGTTGCGAATCGCAGGCATGAAACTTGCAGGCTGCCATAAAACCATGCTTTTATGTTGCAACAATTGATCCATGGCTCCACCTGTTTTTTATATTGCTGTAATCATTACCCGTCATTTAGATTGTTGTCTTTTTTCATGTTTCTGGATTATTTCCATGTTTTTCTAAAGGATGGAAAACATGTATTTTTAAGATTCTTTGAAACATTGAAAATGGCATAATTTCAGTTGCTTGCAATGAGACTGTCATTTTTGTCTCTTTGAAACATTTGTTTTTGCTGAAGTACTGCAACTTTTTCCATTTACAGAACTATAACCTCCCATTAAAAAACGTTAATACCCCAGCAAGTTACCTCTGACTAAGGTTAGGTTGTGGTTTGTTCAAACAAAACAGAGGCTATCCTGAGAAGGCAGAACAAGTTGCACTTATGTAGTTTAAGTAGGGTGAAAGATTTCCAGCCTTTGCTAAACATGATGGGAATCACTCAGCAGGGAGGAAAAATAGAAAATTCAAAATGTTAACCAAAGGTGTAATCAAAGAGATATCTTTTTAAGAAGGTTTTGAAGTCAGGGAGCAGACAAGAGACTGAGGTTGGAGGAAATCACAAAAGTAAGATTGTGAAAGTATTTGAAGATCAGGATAAGGATCTTTAAGTTGATCTTGGACCTGGGAGGCACTGGAGGCTAATAACAAGGGGATATTGAATGAGTGGAAACCCTATCTCTCTAACCTCTCTCCCCACAGCAGTATCCGCTGCCTCCGCTCTACTGGGTCCGGCCTCCTCCGCGTCCCCCGAATCCTCTACTCCACCATCGGCGGCTGTGTCTTCAGCCACTACGCCCCAAAACTTTGTAACTCCCTCCATCAACCCCTTCGCCTCGCCCACTCCTTCCCCATCACACACAAGGGATGAAAACCATGGTACAATGTTTAAAATATGAACAACAAGAACAACAACGTACATTTATATACCTCTTCAACCGTGCCTATAGTCACCTCTCCTTTCTTGTTCGGCATCCACCCCCTCCCCATTGTACAGCTCTCTGATATGTTATCCTGTGTGAAGAGCGTTATATAAATTTGCAAGTTGCTATTGACAGCCACAAAACCAAGAGTTGAACGCCTGCTAGTACTGCTAGTGGAGTCCTGTAGCTCAGTGGTTAGAGCACTCGCTTTGCAAGCGAGAGACCGGAGTTCAATTCCAGGCAGGGCGAAACCTTGGGCAAGTTTCCTTACTCCACACGCCTAATAATAATCCCTCCAAAACCAAAAACAATAATAAAATTGGTCATTTTCAATCTCGACTTTGTGGGACATTGCTGTACGCAATTGGCTGCCGCGTTCACCCACAAATATACAGTCAATTCACTTTACAGTGTGTTCTGTAAAGCGCTTTGGGATGTCCTCCCGACGTGAAAAGGGCTATATCAAATGCAAGGATTATTATTATTATTATTACTGATAAATCGTGAATCAAGCGTCAAACAAAATGAGTATGATTGTCTTTATAAAAACGTTTTTAGCCCATCCCAAGTTACCCAACCATCTAATAAGTAATACAGGTGTTTTGCAGATGTTTGGCTGCAAAATACATAGTAAATCCTGTGAAGCACTTTGACATAGTCCAATGATGTGAAAAAGCACAATATCAAATGGAAGGATTATTATTATTAATGAATATTATATATCTCAACTGTGAGAGCCTGATCTCTTTTACTAGAATAATTTTCACTATGTCCATTTTCTCTTTCCTGAAGGCTCGTGAATCTTTTTTCCATTCCAATAAATGCCAGACATCTTCTGGTATCTTGCCCATTTGGCCATGATTCATGGATGAGCCTTAACAACAAGTTTCAGGAGGTTATTTTACCAAGAGAGTATTACAGCTGAGTCTAATTCTGTCCTCATTTGACATCTCCAACAGACACTATTCCAGTTTGGCTGATATTTCTCCCCCCTTACGTGGGGCACTGAGGTTATTATAACACCTCTACTGCCACCTGGTTGAAATAACCTAACTCAACATAGAGAAAGGAAAGAATCAGTCACATTAATATTCAGCATTCCTGCTGATTCAGTGAGTTTGTTCAGTGAGTAACTGAGCCACACAGTGGGACCTTACAATCTGCAACACTCATCCACCCACTGAATAAGCTCACTGAATCATCATTAGGAAAGCAACTAATACATTTTATGCAGCTAGAAATTCACAAGAGCATAAAAAACCTGAAATGAGAAAATACCCATGAAGATCACATCTTCCATCACTCATTTGACCACTCTATTGTTTATCTTGTTGACACTTCTGTTCATCCTGTGACTTCAAAACTTCATTGTGTGCTTTGGGTAATCAAGCAGAGCTCCTTTTCATCCAGCTCCTATTAAAGGCATCAATGAATCCAGGATCAACTACTGTGCTTCATGGCATCTATTCCCCATACCTACTATTCTGTGGGGAAATAAATCTTGTATCTTCAACTCTAGCACTAGCCTTGTAAAATTTCTATTCAGGTCCTCTTGTCCTACTTTTGGATACCAAATTAACCTGCTTTCCTCATACCTTTCATTATTCTAAGTACTCTTTCCATGTCTCTCTCAGTCTATTTGCCCGAGTCTGTCTTCATAACTTGATATCTTTAGATCTGTGATCACCTCACTTGTCTGACCCATTACCAAAGCTTCTATGTACTTTAGTGATATTTTCCATGGGATATTTTGCAAGAGATTTTTGGTGTTATGACACAAGCACAGTCATTGTTCCCTTCATTGAATGGTAAAGAAAATGAAAGCATAGCAAAGTATGGAATAAGGTAAGGCCTTTTGGTTCATTAAGCCCACTCTTCCCCCAAATCTACCCTATTGACCGTCCCATATGTGCCCCCTTCTGAAAGAAAGGGCATTATTTCTAGTGCCTGATCACACCAAAATGTCTCAAAGCGCTGTCAAGTGTCTATTTGATTACCCAGCTCCCCCTCCTCTGGCCACTGCTGGCAGACACTATTAATCAGTACCTCTCCTCAGCATCAGTCCCACTCCCCCTCAAAATCCTTCTCATCATTCTCCTCCTTAAAAAACCTACCCTTGATCCCTTCAATCTCATGCACTTGAGCCCTATCTCATACCTGCCCTTCCTGGCCAAAGCTTTGGAACGTATTGTGGCCAACCAACTTCACGCACACCTCTCTCTCCAATCACTACTCGAACCCCTCAGCCTGGTTTCCGCCCTACCCACAGTACAGAGACAGTGCTCGTGAATGTTACAAACGATGTAACGTTCTTTGACTAGGGTTCCCTTTGCCTCCTCGTCCTCCTGGACCTTTCCGCTGTGTTCAACACATTTCGATCACGCCATCTTCCTCCACCACCTGTCCTCCATCATCCACCTCAATGGGAACACGCTCGTTTGGTTTAAGTCCTAACCTACAAACCTCAGCACTACATTTCCGCAAATGGTTTTTCTGCTTGCCCCCATCCGGTCACTTGTGGGGTACTCCAAGGCTCCATCCTTGGCCCCCTTCTCTTCCTCATCTATGTGCTCCCTCTCGGTGATGTCATCAGCAGACACGGGGTTAACTTCCACATGCATGCAGATGACACTCAACTCTACTTATCCTCCTCCAGC